AGCAAGTCTGACTTGCCTAAGCAGCCCTGGAGGTGATTCTTTCTGTGACATCAGAATGTAGTCACATATGACATCAGAGGGCAGCAAAATCATCCAGGGTGCCATGGAGGTGTTCAGACATCAGCATGGTAACACACTACTATAGACATCTAAACAGAAAACACATCTTAGAACTGATAGTGTCTTTCCTTCTCTCCATAGTAATTTTCATAGATGAGCTAATGACAGACTGAAATTAGTAAATACTTTTTTTTCAAAGTCATCTTTTCCTTAGGTGACAAAACCAATTTAAGAAGTGGGTCAGCAAAGGCTTTGTGAGGTTTCCAGTCTACTCCCAGCTCCAGGAAGGACAATCTACATCCAAGCAATTCCTTGGAGATCCTCTCATAACCCCTTCTGAAACCATCCTTGATGCAACTCCCATCACCTTCCCAGGCCACTCATTCCAGGAACAGATTATTCTCAGGCAGCATCTCCTCACGTGTGGTCTAAATTCCCATCCAATTTAACTGCAAGTCTCTTGGAAACTAGTTCATTACTATTCTCTTTGCAATTACTATTTATTTATTAGAAGATTTGTCACATCTCACCCTGTCTTCCCTGCTGTAGACTAAACATGCCAATTCATCCAAGCTTTCCCCAAAGGACATGTTTTCCAGACCTTATTCCTGCTTCTCCTCACTGGCTTCCCTCCAAATTTTCAACACCTTCCTCATGGGAGGGTTCCCAAAATGGGACAGAGCTGCAGTAGGAGCCTTATCAGTACTCGAGTGGAAAGACTACCTCATCATCCCACAGACAATCCTGTTTATGCAGTCCAGCACTTGCTTTTTGTGGTACTTGTGCTCTTTGGAAGGAATATGAAATTATTAGTTCTTGTTTAATTACTAATCTGTGGCAATTCCCTTCCCTGCACAGCCCTTCGTTTCTCAAAGCATAAACTTGGGTTTTGCCTCATCCACTGATACAGTGAGCAACTTGTCCAATTTATAATCTTACAAACATTCATTTGTCTTCAGGAATATTCAGGATCCTTTCTCCAAGATCTGTAGTACAGGATCTCCTAGATCCATGTGGCTGTGCTGCTTCACCTTTCCCTCCTCCCACCTGCAATGCCTGGCATGTGGTACCCATGAGCAATCCAAGTCCCAAAGATCCCAGGATTTTGGGGTTGTCAGCACTATTAATCACAGAACACATGTCCTAGCTCTAAATTTTGATAGTCTTCACCTTTGCAAAACTCTTGGCTTGGAAAGTAAAGGACATTTGTCCTTCAGGCAGACTACAAATGGTATTCCATGGAAGTACCTTCCACACAGCTGTCCAGCTGTCATTCTTGATCAAACACAGCAGATATTAAGTGCCAGGGTGGATTTTGCTTATGTGGAAGATTCCAATTGGACTGTTACACTAAGGAGAACTGGAACAAACTGCAAAATTAGGATAATGTACACAGAGCTCCCTTATATCTGACCCAAGAAAGTCTTTGAAAAAACTAACTATCCTTGGGAGCAATTTTATTCTAATTCCATCTAAAGGAACTTTGGAAGTCTGAGGAGCTTCACGACCTGTCATGAGAACTTTGTACAGAGAGAGACTGGAAATGCACTGAAATACTCAGACACACTGAAGTAAGAACCTTTCCCCCCTAATTACATAAAATCTATAATTATATTTGTTACATAAACATTTTAACTGGGGAAAATATTAGATAACTGAAGACAGTCCCTCCCCACCACCCCAGCTCCCTACCACTCACAGCACAGCAGGAGTAAAACGAACCCAGCAAATAGTTCCCACTGCAAAGCTGTTTCCATGTGTGGATGGCACTGTGCTACTCACTCTTGGCAAGAAGGATGTTAAAGGAAACTATGTCAGGCTATTTTGCAGGTCACCTTTTGTCATGCAGTTGCATACATTATATTTTCAATCTGTTTAATCAGTGTCAAGAGACCATCCTGTAAGAAATCAGATAAAGAGCAAAAAATGACTTAATGGACTGAATAATTGCTTTGTGCTTCAGCA